AATGATGATGGCAACAAATGTACAAATGTGCTTGACACAATGGATGGATGGATGGATTGTGTTAAGAGTTGTACGAGCCCCCAATAAAATGATTTTTTTTAAAAAAGATATTCCTCTCTCTCCCTAATCCTCCACTTTACCTAGGATAATGTCCTGGTCCAAGGATTGGGCCCTTCTGATAACATATCCAAAATATACTGAAATGAAGTCTTACCATCCTGGCTGCTAAAGGGCAGTCTGGTTAGACAGATGTGTTTGTTCTGTTGGCAGTCCATGGTGCTTTTCAATATTCTTCACTACATGATACTCAAACCACATGGATTCTTCTCCAGTCTTCCTTACTCACGGTCATGATAGGAGGGGTGAAACTCGGCATCTGTCAAAGACCTGCTCTTCACTTAGTGAGCAACTGCTCGGGTCTAAAGAACTGGCTGCTACTGAGTAAATCCTGACTCATATAGACCCCAGCTTTACAGAAGCAGACAGCCTCAGCTTTGTCCCGAGGAGCAGCTCCTGGGTTTGAACTGCTGACTTTGTGTTAACAGCCCAACGAGTAACCCATGACAGCACAAGGGCTCCTTCTACTCTATGTAATGTAGATTATTTCTGCGAGAAAACAAAGTTGTTGATGACCTACTGAGCTCCATCACAGTCAGCTCATCATCAACAAGAAAATAGCTCTGCAGATTTTTGATAAGTCCTACACACAGAAAGGAGATTTTCATTTAGAGATATTCCCCCACCCCAAAACTGTACTAAAACACCACCAGGGATTCCTCATGAATATTACTCATACAACTTAGAATCACTTATGTAATTGAGTGCATCAATCCTAAGTGTGCAACTCAATGAAGTTTTCTGTCTGTCAGCCCATATAGCCCCCACCCAACTCATGACAGGAAACATCTCCAACATCCTAGAAGGCTTCTTTGTGTCCTCTCCTGGTCAACACCTGCCACCAAAGAGAGCTACTATTTTGGCTTCTAACAACTAGTATTACTTTTGCCCTACAAACTAGACAGTTTTCATTTGAAAATTGTTTGTAATTAAAAGTTTCATGGCTGGGGGGAAATGTGACCACACACGACATATGGAAGCAGTTAAGACTGGGTTGTCCTGCCACCAACCCCAGTCAACGACAACCCACGAGGCTCCCTGGCTCCGGAAAGGACGGGCACTCCTACTGGAGTTGAGTCAGTAGGGCACTGCCTCCCTCTCTGGGTGAGAGAAGTGCAGATGATTAGAGACTGTTCTGAAGACAGATGGAATCCAGGGAGTCAAACTCAAGAAAACTATGTCTCATGGTGAAAAAGCACAGGTTCCAGGCTTAGAGAGAACCGTCTTTGAGTTCTTAAAATGTGTGTGACCTTGGGAGTAAAACAGCCTACCTATAGCAACATTTAGATGAAAAAGCAAGTAAAACTCCTACTGTGTGCAGTGCCTGATACACAGTGGTTGCCCAGTAAATGGTGCCTCCCTACCATTACCTGCATTGGGGCTGGACAGGGATGCAGTGGCCACGGGTTTGCGCTTCCTCTTAATGTCACGGGCACACGGTGGTCCCAAGTGTACGCTCGCCTGTCTGCAGAGACAAGAGAGAGAGAATGGTATTTCCAATTAGTAATACCCATTGTAAGACCTTCTGCTCCAGCCAGTCCAGAGAGGACCACATGGCCGGCCCACTATGAAACACCACGTCCCTCACTGACCCATAGCCCTACAGGGGACAACACCGGAGACACAGTGTGGGAACTGTGCCCGATCTGATCCCACCACACCGAGGCAAAACACTAAGGGGGTGCAACAGAACAGCAAGGGAATGGAGTGGCAAGGTCCCCAGGGAATGCTGAAGGTGGACTTTGGGGATAGGGCCTGGTGCTCCAACAGACTAGACTGGAAAACACTCCTAAAGGCCAACAAACAGTCCTTGAACTAACTACAAGCCTTTCTTTCTTGTTGTACTTTGTTTTGTTTTATGTCATTGGTTTGTTGTTGTTTTGTTGTATATTGTTGCTTGGTTTTGCTCTGTCTTGTTTTTGTGCATGTTATTATCTCCG